GATTCTGGCTAATTGTTTGGCTACAGGAAAAAAAATCCTAGCTAGGGCCCTGTGTACATATATAATGTATAGTCACTGTTATATTGCTAACTTTTTTATTATCTTATCCCTTATCTTTTTTTTAAATAGATGCAGAACCTTGTTTAAAGCATTGAAGCTTGAAGACTTCACCGAAGTGAATGTTGCAGTGCTAGGATCAGAAGATATGTATGGGCCAATGGCATCTGCAGATCTGAAGGTATAAACTGAGCCAAATAGGTTCTATCCCTGCCACATAGAGCATTTAGGTTAATACATTCCATAAGCACGAATATTATTCTGTAGCTGCTCTCAAGCATATAGTTAACAAATTAGCTCTTGGCGTAAAAATTGTGGCTCATAAATTGCTGTATACCTTTTGCGAAATCTTAATCTCGCCTGTGCCGGTTCCATCATCTATGTTCTATCACACACTCTTTCATTGATACTGAACAGTGAACACTCTAAATATATATATATATATATCACTCATTGGTTTATTTAGTATACACACTCCGTACAGTCTGAGTCACTCTACTTTCCTTTCATTAACACTCCCTACAACCTTCTCCGTCAACACTCGTTTTCAATCTGCCTTCCCTATCTTGCATTCCCGGTACCACTCTCTCTCCGTCGCGAAAACCCCGAACCCACACACAATGTAGCAATTATCATAAACATCTATAAAAAGTCACTCCCCCCTACCTCCGAGATTACACATCATACATATCTACACATTCACAATCTACATATCACCAAGAGTACATATTCATACAATTATACATTAGGCTATACGTTTACATGTTATTTCCCAACAATACCAGTTACCCATGAGTCATTGAGTTTTGTTTTCGTTATTAGGCATCGAGGGAGGTGGCTCTCTGGCTGGCTGTTCATCATCAGCAGAAAAAGGCTCTTGAAGTGTTCGTACGGGAGATTGCTCCTGCTGGTACTGGCATGGGTGAGACTACTTTATACAAGTCCCCTCCTGCTTCTGGCTGAGGTGCAAAACCAAATTCAATTGTACTTTTTCTAGCATTATGGTAACGACAAGATCTGCGGTAGGTTTGCTGTGTTGCGCCACTCCCTTCACGGCATCTACAGAGGCAATCATGATGGTGCCGTTAGCAAGTATTTGCTATCGCAAAAATGCTCACGAATCCCTATGTTTTCTACAACGTTTTCTTTGATGGCTCTTGGCATTACAGTTTGTGTTATTAAGTGTGAATAGTTTTTCGTTAGTGTAAACCTTTTCTTTGATGGCTCTTGGCATTAAAATTTGTGATATTAAGTGTGAATAGTTTTTCATTGGTATAGTCATATATGAATTTGTACTTACAGCACCAGGACTCACTACTATAGTTGGAGGGAGACCTCGAGTTGCACCTGTCCTGAAGCTGTTTTCATTCCTTCATGATAAGAAAGTATTCAAGGTACGATCGGGGCAGGGCCAGCATACCTGCTAAGCTGTTAGACACTGCCAGGCATGACACATTTAATGTAAGAATATCGCTATCTAATTCATATTAGAATAACTGACAACTTGTGTGGTTTATAAGTATGTAAATATGCTGCCATGTTCATATTAGTTTCTCCAATTTCATATCTGGTTAGGAATTAAATATTCAATTGCAAATCATCTGCCTTTATTAGCAGTTGCTGATAATTCGAATCGCAACGACCGAAGCGGGTAAACTTCAAAACAACACAAGGTATCAGTTACTCTAGCACATACCAATAGTGCAGATTAGATAGCCATATTATTTCTTTAATGTGGCGTGATGCGTGTCTTGTAGATATGTATGGTTTTGCGCCTTGTATGTTTCACCTAATTTCAACACAGATCGTATTTACTTGTAATTCTAACTAGGCTTTATAGACATGTTACATTGCTATGTAGTAGTAGGCCTACGTGTTAAAGTGGTTTCCAGCCCAGATTGAACTGCTAGTTCTTCTTTAGATTATCTGTTGCTAATGTGTGGCATCCCCTCATTACTCCCATCCATCCACCCTCTTGCTTTCTCTCTGTCTCTCTCTCTCTCTCTCTCTCTCTCTCTCTCTCTCTCTCTCTCTCTCTCTCTCTCTCTCTCTCTCTCTCTCTCGCCGCTCTCTCTCTCTCTCTCTCCTCCTGTCTCTCTCTCTCTCTCTCTCTCTCTCTCTCTCTCTCTCTCTCTCTCTCTCTCTCTCTCTCTCTCTCTCTCTCTCTCTCTCTCTCTCTCTCTTTCTCGCTCTCTCTCTCGCTCTCTCTCTCTCTCTTCATCTCGTCTTCCTTTCTATTCCTGTCGCTCTTTCTCTCCCACTTCTCTCTGAGCAGGTTGACATTCACATGAATGGGGAATTCGTAGAGACATACAAGCCTACAATGACGGAGGAGGTTGTAAGCCATTCGGCCGGCAACAAGTATGATGGTTTGGCAGCCCCAGTGTCTGGTTCCCATACGTACAGGTTGGAGGATTTGGCAGTTACTCGCAGTGGCGACAAGGGCAACAATGCCAATATCGGTATGCTCAGCTTGTCGAAGCTAGATTATAATTTTTTAAAGTCGTTTCATTGTATTAGGATCTTTCATAAATTGCAACAGTTACAGCACAAGTTGTTTTTGCTCACTCGAGACTCGTGCATCTGTGATGACAGCTATTTCTATGCAATAGGTGGCATTATAGAATTTTGCAATGTGGCTGTTTTAAGAAGTCACAATTAAGTGCAGTATTTCTCGTAGATCCATACAAAACTGTTTTAGCAACTTCTAAACAAACTTCTAATGATTATTGGCGTAGCCTTGTCACCTTGTAAAAGGCAATTATGGAACTATGTGGCATTACAGGCGTGGTAGCCAGACATCCGGCCTACCTCCCGTATCTTCAGCAGTCTTTGACAGCACAGGCAGTGGAAAATTACTTTAGTCATTTATATGAAGACAGCGTGCCAGAAAATGACCGAGTTATCAGGTAATTTGATTAGATTACTAGTAGAACATAGAACAATGCAAGTGCAGTTGAGATTATTGAGTTTCCCTATTACAAAGTATCCATCTAGGGAGATAGTAGTACTACCATTAGTATACCCTGTTGATATACCTATTAGTTACTGATAATGCTGCATAATTGTTGACATTATTGCTTCTCCAGTGAGGTGATGAAATTCATGTAGCATTTACTACCGAGTGTTGTCTTAAAAGTCGCCATTAAATGCTGCAGATATGATGTACCTGGAATCCATGGATTTAATTTCCTTCTGAAGAACTGCCTGGGTGGAGGAGGTATTGCCAGTCTGCGAACGGATCCACAGGTATTTATCGCTATTATATATTGTTACGCACAGGTCTGTGCTATTAACATTGCTATTCGTGGTAGCTCATGTTCTTTTTTGTTTACTAGGGTAAGGCATTGGGTCAGATGCTATTGGATTTCCCCATCAGAGACATGCCTGAAAGCTCCAGCCTTGTCAAGTGAGGCTGTGGTGCATCTGGTCATGGCTTGGTTACCCATAGGCTTTGTCATGACTCAGTAATCATGGGCTGTTCCTGTAAGGTCATCATTTACAATCAATCAGTATTCTCTTCAGTTTTCTGAAAACTATCGGGACATTGTGTATAATTTTTTTGCCAAGATAAGGTTAATCAGTTGGTGAGGAAGAATTACGAGATTTGTAGTTGACAGCTAGCAATAATATATAAAGATATTAAACATTGTTTTCAATGTGAAATTGTAATTTATGGTAAATTGTTATAGGGCGTTTTTCTATACCAATAATATACTACGAGATAATAGATGTACTGTTGTATTTACTAACATTTCTAAATAAATCAATGAGTAAGTTGTGTGATGGAAATAGAATATGGCCTTTGTTAGCTAGTGTTGCTTGTTGAAAATTAAACTGTTCATGTCACATCTAACAATTCTGATTTTGTATTTTTAATCATTTATAACGTTATACCTGTGAGAAAACGTTGAAGGGGCACATCTCATAAGTTAATATTTTAAAAATCCGACAAAGAATCAAAAGAAATTGGAAATGGAACGACAACTGAAACATGCACACAGGGTCGGTGGCATTAATTAAAGTTTAAATGATTAAGGCTGTATTCACACCGAATGACCAATCCACTATCAAAACTGTTCTGGACCTCTGGATTCTGGTTTTTCACACGTCTAAGCATATGCAATTAGCTATTATAAGAGTTCGCGAACAAATAGTCTCAAGAGCACTTAATGTTTGAGCCAAAAATGGCAAAATCCTTATTTATTACAGCACGTGACCTAGTCATTTTAATGTTGAAAAGCAACACCATATTGAGGCTAAAATACTTTCTATGAATATCAAATATATACCAATATAAAATCTGTGTACATACATTTCAATGATATAAGAGATTCAATTTATATAAGAGGACAATACTTGAGTTTATCACAACAATACTAAACTCGTGTAGTTCGATTAAGCTGCGAAAAAAGTGTATAAATGTCTGACCGTTTCATTTGGCAAACAGCAATAAATGATTACACGTATGAACCCACGCCTGTATAAGAGTAGCTTCTGCTGCTAGAGCTCTGCAATTATAAAATGTGATTCTGGCAGAGGTTGAGATCGGTGTCGGAACAAGACCATCACTTATCCGAGGCCTCGCACCACTAGTTACACAGTTCATTCCAAACGCGCGCGAACCACGAGCGAACGTTTCTCGAAAGCTGATCCGGATCGATGCGAGGGTGTTCTGCCGTCACCGTTGCCTCCATCTCCGCCCACAATTCGTCGGCGCTCAGCTGCAGAAGTCCCGCCGGGCTGACGAGCTGGCCACTGTCGAGGCGCGAGAGCAACTCCTCTAGGCAGCGTCGCTTCAGATAAAGAGCCGGCACCTGCTCCACTAATTTGCCGGCGTCCTCCGCGAGAACGTTGAATTCCCTGATGAAAGGGTGTGGCATGTTGCGCTCCGTCACGCACGTCTTCACGTAGGCGAACATCTCGCGCATGATCGCGTGTAACTGCTCTTCCTCGGACTGCTGTGCGTCGAGCGATACGCACGACGAGACGTGGATCACAGACAACTTGAGCAGGTACGAATCGATGAGGCTTTTCGGCTGACGTCGAGTGGCAATGAACAGCCTCACGGCATCAATGTTGTAAGCATTCAAGTTTAGTACGTCGGTATCTTCCTTCAGGTGTTCGTTGCCCACTACGTCTTGGTAGCGTAGATCGCAATCCTGCGTTATCGGATTTAACCAGGCTTTCGCAGCGACGACGGCTTGCTTAAATATTTTTGGAAGTCCGAGAATGTAATTGTTCTCTGCCTGAGCAGTACACACGAACCAGTGTTTATTTGAGGCACTCATGGGCTTTGGCACGACGTGGTAGTGAAAGTTTTTCGGAAATTTCGGTTGCACATTATGCGGTAGACCTTGAATTCTTATAGCTGGTGTGACATCTATCGACAACATCAGATTTTTGTAAAAAATACCCTGTGTAAACATAAAATTAAAAGTCGTGCAAACTTTGTTCCACTCACAGATTTGCACGTTTTTACAAATTTTTAAAGAAGTTCCCAATGTGCTCATTACATTCGACATCGCTTTGCATAATATTTTCACAAACGTTTCCTTCATTTCGACTGATATGTAGTCCTTCATGCACATTAGCCACCTCTTGTACACCTGGACTGCACCACTGCTTTTGGTTCTTTCAACCCTGACTTTCCCATAGAGCTTTTTAATCTCGAAGATGAAATCGAATTCGTCGGGCAGCCCAGCCTTGGTCCCATTAGCGGTGCTGCCCACCAGGATGGGCTCGCAGTCAAGGTTGCGGTCAAGGGTACGCATCTCCGCGCACAAGCTCTGAATCAACTCCATGACAGCCGCCTTAACCTCGTCGCACTCCGTCCGATGCTTCAATTTCCCCAAGCACGGCAACTTCCAGAGATTCATCAGGGTTCTCACGGAGCGCACGCCTTCGCCCGACGCAGTCATGCGGCAATCGTCCGACTCGACGAAGCACGCTGCGGGCAAACCCTGCAGGATGTGATGCGACAGCAGCACGCCGGCAGTCAGGCGAAAGTGTTTATTAAGCGCCCTCTTGTGGGCATTATCGACGGCCTTGTCATACGCAAAGTTGAAGTCGGCAGCTCTGTCCGCCGCCCCGGCGTCGATCAACAAAGTCACAATCTCTTTGTGGCCGTAATTGGCTGCCCACTGGAAAGCTGTCATCTTGTCAGGGCCGCTGTAATGCACGTCCGCGCCGGCGGATATTAGCATGGCCACCGTCTCCGTGCGCCCCCGCCAGGCGGCGTTCGTCAGCGCCGTCCACCCGTCGTCGTCGGCGCGGTGCGTGTCCGCGCCTGCGTCCAGCAGCAGCCTCGTCGTCTCCGTCATGCCCGACTCCGCCGCGCGCATCAGCGCCGTCCAGCCGGTCGCGTCGGCGTGGTTGACGTCCGCGCCGGCCGCGATCAGCCTCCGCACGACGTCGTCGTGGCCCTCCCACGCGGCGAGGATGAGCGCGGTGTCGCCGTCGCGAGCCGCGTGGCGCACGTGCGCGCCCGCGCCCAGCAGCGCGGCGACCGTCTCCGCGTGGCCGGCTTCCGCCGCGTGCAGGAGCGCCGACCAGCCGCTGCCGTCGCTGTGCCGTACGTCGGCACCGGCTTCCAGCAGCTTCACGACTAACGCCGTGTTGCCTTTCTCGGCGGCCACAAGCAGACTCTTGTTCTCCGGTTCGTTGGTGGGTACCTCGCCTGTTGTCGCGTCGACCGTGGCTTGGAAATCGACGACGACCGCATCCGTGTCACGGGATACCACCTCGCTGCCGGCAGATATCATGTTGGCAGTTTATGCTGAATTAACAGCTACGTCTTGGCAAGCATCTAAAGATCGAGAATTCATTTGCATTTTTTAAAGCAGCAGTCTAAATTAAAATTTTCGTTGTATATTTATGATAGGTGAAGAGAAGATCGAGGGCAGGGAAAGAAGAGAAAGGTATAGAGAGTGGAGCTGGCAGATGGATGATAACAGAATTTAAGGTATATTGAGGAGGGAGTAGATGTAGTGAAGGAAGGTGGAGGAGGATATAGCGTAGGAAATGTGGTTGTCGAGGAGGATGGGGGAGAGGAGAAAGAGGAGAGAAGCGAGACAGTAGAGATATTGAGACAGTTGGATAGAATGTATAGGTAGAGAGGTACATATATATGGTGGCGGTATAGGAAGAGGAAGCATACAGAAGTGGGAAAGGGAGGTAATTAAAGGACAGGCCGTAGCCTGCGGGGGGGAGGGGGCAGCTGCCCTCCCTAGATCAGTGCTAGATTTGGCTGCCCCCCCCTTAAGAGCAAAATAAACAAAATAAATTGTTCTACTAAAAGAGAATTGTCGTAGTCAGAATGAAGGCTGTACATGTACTCAAAAGTGCCTCAAATACCATCTGCAATCTACATTTCCAAAATTTTCTGTGGGAGGACCCCAAACCGTTACTCACCCCCTCCTTGAAATCGTGGATCAGGCCACTGCCCCCCTCTAGGAATTTGCTCAGCTTACGGCCCTGAAGGATACAAGAATAAAGAAGGTTGGAGGATCAGAGGATGAGCAAAAGATGGGAGGGTAGAGATGAATGATGCCAGAGTGAAATGGAAGAGAATTAAAAACGTTGGTGGAGAAGGAAATGATTGGAGGGAAGAAGAGAATGATGGAAAGTGGAGTAGGGGTTGGAAACAGAGTAGAGCAGTCTGGGATAGGCATAAGCACCTGCCTAGCTTCTACTCTCACTCGACTTTCCCCCTTCGTTCCCCTAGTATTAGATGCATCCACTTTTTCTATGGTCTATAGTACCTCAACCTCCCATCAAGTGTTCACAAAATGCACCCACATGGCTATGATTTTATAGTTGGATGTCACAGAAATTTATATATATCATGTATATATATATAATTATATATATATCTATATATATATATATTACTTTTATATTGTCTGTGTATATTAGTATATGTGACAGTGGTATGTAGACTTTGGGTCCGCAGCAGATATACCTTTAGTGGAACAAAGGACCACACTGGTAGAGCTTGCATGGCCCGATCATAGATATATAGGCCTACAAACACGTATGTTTGTATATAATTGTTCTACGACAAATACCCCCCGGACAATCACTCCCCGGACAATTACCCCGGACAATTACTCCCATGCTATTCACCCTCGCGACATCACCCCCAGACAATCACCCCCAGGACAATCACCCCCGGACAATTACCCCCCGGTACAATTACCCCCGAACATTTACCCTCCGGACAATTACCACCAGGACATTTACCCCCGGACAATCACCCCCGGCCACGGACATTTACTCACTTGTTGTTTATTATTCATTGTTGAACACTGATACAGGGAGGAGGTCGGGGGGGAGGGAAGAAGGTGGTGGAGGAGGAGGAGGAGGGAGAGAAGGTGGTGGAGGAGGAGGAGGGGGAAAAGGTGAGGAGGAGGAGGAGAAGAGGAGGAGAAGAGGTGAATGAGGGAGGAGGAAGAGGAGAGGAGGAGGTGGAGGAGGAGGGGAGAACGTGGGGAGAAGGGTATAAATGTCCGTGGGGTAAATGTCCAGGGGGTAATTGTCCGGGGGTAAATGTCTGGGGGGTAATTGTCCGGGGGGTAATTGTCCGGGGGTAAATGTCCGGGGGGTAAATGTCCGGGGGATGATTGTCCAGGGGGTAAATGTCCGGGGGGTAATTGTCCGGGGGATGATTGTCCGGGCGGGGGGGTATTTGTCCTGATACCGTATATAATATCTATGGCCCGACCAGGCTCTACGACTGTTGCACGTAGTGAGGCTAATAGGGTCTATGTCTTCCTGGGTACTGCCGGAACGTACCCTGGGTACTGGCGTACCCTGGGTACGGTCTGGTATACCGGAACATATATACCCTGGTAACTATCTGATATGGTTAGGGTTATGGTTAGGGTTATAGCCCGGTTAGGGAGTAGGCGTAGCCAACTCCCTAGGCCCTAGACTCGTTAGTGGAGTAGGCGAGGTACGGTAGGCGAGGTAGATAAGGGTACATTCCGGCAGTATCCAGGGAGATTGACATAGACCCTCTCAACCCGAAGCGAGAAGGGTACGTACTAGCTCTAGTACTATAGCCCGCGGATCGCTGCCGCAGGCAGCGATCTGCGGGCTATAGTACTAGAGCTAGGTACGTACATAATGAGTGTAAATAAACTTCACCCAGGCCAGCTAGCTCTAAGAAACGGTCTTGCTAATCACTTTGTATTACAACTTTGTATTACACTTTGTATTGCACTTTGTATTACAACGTTGTATTACACTTTGTATTACACGTTCAACTCTGTATAGACAATCAGTCGCACAGCCTCGGCGGGCTAAGGTCAGCCAGCTGCAGGCCAGCTAGGCTGCGAGAAATCTAACGCTAACGTCAATAAACAGTCTGTCGTTCAATAGTAGTTAGTACTTTGTCTTTAGTATATGCACCAGGTAAACCTCGATGAGTGCAACTAACCAGTCGAATGTCTCAAGCTATATTATCATCTCCAAATCATGTGAAGTTACCAATCGCACCTGACAGCACTCGCAAGAATAGCCACATATTGAAATATTTCCGGAATTCACTCCAATACACCAAAAATAGCAAAATGGTGACCAACCATCAAAAGACGATGCGTACTGTATGTACTTTGTACATGTATATGCAGCGGAACCACAGTCGAATGTATGCCGTCTATTTCTATTGCTGCCGGTGATCTTCTCTAGACTGACCCCAAGTCTTTCTTTCTACTGACAAAGTGAAGAGACAGGATAGGAGATCCAATATTCTCTTTCCTGTCCATGTGAATCGCGGGGTTTGACCCCGGTTTGACGAGGCCATATAGTGCCAAATATAGCCATATATATATATATATAGTGCCAAAGACCGTATACAATCATTATACTCGTTTATTGTTATATTGTACATTTTGTAATTATTACGTTATATCGTAATGTATCTCTTATAATCGTTATACACAATCTGTAATGTTGTGAGGGGTACGATCGAGGTGGGCCATATTCTCTGTTTTGCCCGCAAAAAAATATATGCCATATCTCTCGGTTTTCGTTAGATCGTAATTTCGGGTTTCCAAAACATATTTGTTTTTCAAATTCATATTTCAAATTCAAATTGAAATTGTATTGAATTGTATCAATTTCATTTCAAATTCATATTTGTTTTCCAAAACATATTTCCAAACATATTTGTTTCCTAATACTAATATAAAATACTGTAGATAGTTTTATATGTTCACTGTAGTTTACTACAGTAAACTAAACATAGCAACATATGGCACACACGCTTAATTGATGCTACTCTGAAGAAATCCCCTATATATAGCTCTTTAATTAATTTGCAAGATGTAGATTTTACTCATCTGCACACCAACAGCTAGGCGTGCCACTCTCACAGATGACCCAAATGCCGCAGCATGCTCACAATTCCTCATGGAACGGCACCTATAATCATCCGAACTTGGTACAATTCATAACTGCATGTCTCTATAGATATGATCAATGATCGCGATATATGTCTCTATCACTCTTATCATTTTATGAAAATTAAACTGATTATACCGCTATGATTATACCGCAAATACCTGTCATCCATTCGTCACTTTCTTCTTTCAACAATGCTAATTGCCCGCATGCATGCAGTGACTTCCGCTTATTGATCCATTACATCAACCCAACACCCGTCCATTGGACGGGTACTTTAATTGCTAGTATAAATAAATAAATAAATAAATAAATAAATATATATATATAATATATATATATACATGATATTTATTTCAGATATGTAATATACTTTCATTCCAGCTTGTCAAAACTCTATAATTGCTGTCATCTAAACGAACTAATGAACGTATAGAATTCGAGTGAATAATAATCGAATATTATTATGATAAATTATTATTATAGACTTTTATTATTCTATTATTATAGACTATTATTATTATATTATTATAGACTATTATTATTCACTCCTGATATAATAGGATCTATATACGTGGCTCGTACAGCACGTGCACACACCGCTAGCTCCAATAAGCGGCAATATAACGAAAGAATTATGTATATACGGCGTTATACGGTCTCGTGGCCTGGTTGGGATAGGACACTCGCGCGATAAGCACACAAAACGCTAGACGGTAAACTTGCAATATGACGCTGCGAGTTCCTGATAGATAGTTTAGGCGTGACTAACCTACGTGCGTGTACTTTCACATCGCATGGCCGAACCACCTTTGCGTCACCACCTGTAGCACGTGTTTGCGTACGTACCGTGACCATATACGGATGTCCTGGTGACGTCATGCGTCCCCGTAACGTGCCCTCAATGGGCGACGGGGCCGTTAAACGTTGGGGGCATTTATTTGGGGCTCTGTGTCATCGCGCGTTCTTACCAGGGCATGCATGGGTGTGACAGGGTGTCATTCTCTATAGCGTTTCTATGTACACATGCACGCACGTACGCACGAACGCACGCTCGCACACACACGCACGCACGCACGCACGCACGCGCGCCCGGAAACACATACACAAACAAATATATACATAGATCGATATATGCACATATAGATACAAGCACGCACGCACACACACGCGCGCACACGCACGCACGAATTAAATCCATGATGCACACACACATGGCGCACGCACGCACGCACGGCGGCCCGCCCGCATGCACCCCCACCCCCCTACACACAAACACACACACGCGCGCACACACACACGCGCGCGCGCACACACACACGCGCGCGCGCACACACACACACACACACACAACTGTGACACACACACGCAGTCATTCACGCCGGATGGATGGTCACGGTTGGAGCACATGCACTAGACCACTCCCGAGCCCCCGCCCCCTAACTGCAACGTAAAATTTACCTGGCGCATGCGCATTTGGTAGAACGTAGAACCTAGGTCCGCTAAATTGTTGTTAATCTTGTGATGTCATTTTGAAAGTATTTCGACTACTTGTGTATTGGTGATTACGAAATCGTTGCCAGGAACTATACCACCGGAGCCTAGTGACTATACTGGACGCCATAGACCTGTATTTAGCAGAGCGGACATCCGACGATAACTTGATATTGAGTTGTTCTCGAATACTGTACCAAGGCGTCAACGGTCTGACCTCTGCGGATCGCATTTCTACCAACACAACAGGTATATAACATTGGACTTTGACCGTCAGACAGTAGGCCTTAATATTCAAATAACCCCGGGGGAACAACACCGCAAGCAAAAACAAGTGAGCCTCGTATGTGTATTGATTTATGTATTGAACAGTCAGTACTCACGGCAGAGTGACGCGAGAGTGACATATAACTTTGTCACAAAGGAAGTCTCTCGATTTTAAGCGGTAGTACTGTATTACTAGAATTTACAAAGGCGTGTTCGAGTCGCACAAGTGCAGCGTTGCCAGGATAAAACACGCAATACTGCCTACTGGACAAGTTGGCCACGGTGAATATGTCATAGACTCATGCGAATAAACCCTTAATATTATTATTAATATTAATAACTTCCGTTGCATTTGACTAGGAAAAAGAAACCGCATCGTGGAATAACGGGACTTCTTTACTATCGACGCATCGTGATTACTTCAGCCTAGGCACAAGTGACTACACTACAGTACAGTCATCATGGATAAAATCACGTGTTTTACATGGGTTGCAGTAACATTGCTCGCTGGGCAGATAGTCACAGCACAGTTTGTGGAAGAACCTTCGTCTGTATCGGAAGTAGAAGGTGGAATGGTGCTTTTGAAGTGCATGCTCGATCCCAACTATGCACCTGGCAGTACAGTCTATGTGAAATGGTATAGAGGTGGCATTGGATTTGTACCCAATGATCAACAACGGTATGAGTATGAAGACATAGCAAACACAAACGGAAACTATAACTTGATAATTAACAACCTCAACTTCAGGGAAGATAATGCAGAGTTTTTATGTGAGAGTAGGGTTGTCGAAGGCAACGATGTAAAGTCAAGGTCAGCTGATGTGTCTGTTTTGGTGCCACCTGAAAAAGTTTTCATATCACAAAATGGTGCGGTAGTGCCGTCTGGTGGCACGGTTTCATTCTCAGCTGATGATATGCAGTCGTTCAGCTGCACTGCGGAGAACAGCAATCCGGGGGCAGCCATCACGTGGATGCTCGGTGAGAACGACATCAGCTCGTCTGCCACAGAGGAACAAGTGCCTGGCTCAGATGCTTCAAAGGTAACCACAGTGAGCAGACTTGAGCGCACGTTTGATGTCAGCGAGAATGCGAAGCTGCTAAAGTGCAACGTGTTTCTGCACGACAAGGTCAACGTGACTGGCTCGCAGGTGACTTTCGACATCCAATTCATGAGCACGTCGGGTGATATTACCATCCTGGCCGGTGGCAGTGCCCTCGTCGAAGGCGATGAATTGTACTTGCGCTGCGGCGTGGAAGGAAATCCGCAGCCAGCATACAAATGGTTCAAAGACAATCAACCCATCTCGACCAGCAGAGAATTCCAGAAAACGGTAACGATCGAAGACGCCGGCGTTTACAAGTGCGAGGCGTCGAATGCTTACGGAGCTGGCAAGTCCAACACGTTGACGATATCCGTCAGCGCGAAAAGCTCGACCGCTGCTGCGGTCGCCATTCCCATCGTAGTCGCATTCATCGTGCTTGCCATCGTCGTCGGTGTCGCGTACTACAGGAAGATGTGCTGCTTCAAACGAGGCACGAGTAATGGCGACGAGGAGGGAGGTGCGAGCAATGCAGGCCTGGATGCGAAGACACCGGACAGAGTTCCCACCCCTGAGACGAAGTTTATGGCAGACGAAACACCGGCGGAGGAGGAGCGCAGCGTTAAGCCGGAGAAGGCTAAGAAACCTAAGCATCCGCTAGCTCAAGAGTACGAAGCTGTTTACAACGTGAAGCAGTCCAATCATGACGAGCCCTCTGACCGCAACGTTGAGGGACTGACATACGCTGACCTTGACCTCACGAAAGGCACAGAGGGTGCAGTGCCAGCTCGGAAAGGGGAAGAGACAGTGTACTCAGAAGTTAAACCCAACACTGCGGTATAATATATGTCATAGAACCTTCTTTCACTGGTTTCATAGATTATTGTGAGAACCCTTAGTGATATGAAATGAAACAAAACTTTTGTTGATGTGTAACTTGTGATTTTTGTTCAGTATTTTAGAGCGACTAAAATGAGAAAATGACTTTGAAATGAGTGTCACGACTCATGGATTGTTGGCTAAATTGGCATAATTGACTACAAGCTCACAGTTATCACAACAAATATGTGCAACTGTCGAGTCTTTTGTAATAGGACATCAATTACCTGTAAGGGTTTTAGTCTGTAACAAGTTTGCTTTTGATGTTTGTGACATATTTGCTAGTTTGTACATATTCTAGTTTTTCATGTAGCCCGGTTATCCGGGCCCAAATCCTGTGTTAGAAAGTACTTTCCTTGTCATCTGGTTTTGTTTAGTTCCGTCCACTACCATTGCAAGTAGTGATTTGTCCTGTATTGACATGAAACTGATAGAATTGCTAGTAACCAGTGGTTCTCAGCTGTTGCCAATGGTATCAGACAAATCCACAGTAATATAATTAATATTACTATTTTATTAGAATAGTTAGTTACCGTGTAAAGTGTTAGTGCATAATAGTAGGATTATAGGATAATGAGTCTGCTGCATGTATCGGCAGCATTCAACTGTGTCACAAGTTGAAGCACTTGCTGCAGTTCAGTAAATAACTTTTTACACCAACTCTTGGCAATCTCACAGGTTTCCCATGATATCACAATGGTTTGCTATTGCCTAATCGCAAGGGGAGGGAATCTAATTAGATACCTGAAATTGTATTGTAGTATAATAACTTTTAAATGAAATTCTAGCTTTATCTTATGATTAAATGTCACATTGAATTGCATCTGATTTGAATGTTTACTATTGTATACATTTCATAGTTATATTTTGTATCACTAGAATTTTTATAATTGAAGGGACATTGTTTATTATGTTGATAAACAAATGATTATGTGACGTAGATAGGCTGTTTTTGCATATTAGGTCATGTTTGTACGTGCTGTCAACGTTATTAATTAATTTTAATTACTGACTTTAATCATGCGCAATGGTAGCATATAGAAATTACTTGAACCTGCTGCAGTTTACTGTTGGAAGTTTGTCTTAACCCTCTATTTGTTGATGAGATCATTTATAGCGTAATTATCTATACAAGTGTATTTTATCAACGAACTAATATATATTTTACAATTTAAAGCTGTGATCACTTAAAAGAATTCCAACATCCTCATCATGTGACTTTGTAAAGTTAATTTCCATGCTTTAATATATTATTACAAGCAGGGAAAATGTTTTATAAATTATATACCCATCAAACTTCATACAAATTCCCAAGAATGTAGCAATATGATGTGCATTCCTGTTATTTTCTGCTACAGCATGTAATAAATATTCTGGCTGATAACCAAACTTATATGTATGTAATGGTTGTGGAATGGTTAAATGAGGAAATAGTGGGAATAGTGTAAGTGGCTTTCTTGTGAAATCACACTGTACAAAATGAGGTTTACGTAGGCCTACTGACATAATTTTCACAGAAATGCATTTTTATTTTTAGGTCGGTATTATAAAATGGCTTTAGTTGTAAACTAAANAAGTTTGTCTTAACCCTCTATTTGTTGATGAGATCATTTATAGTGTAATTATCTATACAAGTGTATTTTATCAACGAACTAATATATATTTTACAATTTAAAGCTGTGATCACTTAAAAGAATTCCAACATCCTCATCATCTGACTTTGTAAAGATAATTTCCATGCTTTAATATATTATTACAAGCAGGGAAAATGTTTTATAAATTATATACCCATCAAACTTCATACAAATTCCCAAGAATGTAGTAATATGATGTGCATTCCTGTTATTTTCTGCTACAGCATGTAATAAATATTCAGGCTGATAACCAAACTTATGTATGTAATGCACTAATGGTTGTGGAATGGAGGAAATAGTGTAAGTGGCCTTCTTGTGAATCACACTGTACCAAAATAGGTAGGCCTACTGAACAATAAATTTTCACAGAAATGCATTTTTATTTTTACGTCGGTATTATAAAATGGCTTATAGTTGTAAAACTAAAACACTAGAGGTAAAAAGCAGATCGACTACACAAAGTTAATTGTGCAATTAGATGGAAATGTCTTTACAAACAGCAAGAAGTAACCGAATTGTTGAATGTGAACAAGATAATAGACAACGGAAAAACCAATTATCTACTGACTCTTGTGTAGTTTAAAAACTCTTAATACAACTGGAAATACTTCACATATAAAAACCATCGCGATAATAACAAAATGACATTCCTATGTAAATATTCCTATATGATACGATTGCCAGGAACAAGCATGGAAATTTGTTTTGTTTCCGCACTAGATATGCAATGTCACCATCAGCTAGCACTAATCCAATACATTACACACCACTGGTGCCAAATTGATCTATATACACTTGGAATTAGGCCAGTGCTGGCCCAAATGCACTTTTTTACCCACCTGATGAATTGTGTAGTGATTTTTAAGATGATCAACTATGCATTACTGTCCCTTCCAATTAGAAATCTTACTTCATGCGAGCAATCAGAGGCATGCCAACAGTGCCACTGTACCCACAATCTGATTGTGAGACATGTTCTTCACTGTTTCCTATAACACAGCCGGTTATAGTTCAATACACGAATTGTACAACAATGTCAATACCAGAAACCCTCTAAAATGTTTTACAATTCTAAATCTAACAAAAACAATATTCACATTGAAATTTGGTTAAATATAATCTCCACCAAAAAATATCTGGAATTGTGTCCCAATATTGCCTCAATACGCAATAATGACGTTGCAATAATGACTAATAAAATACATCTGTAGGTACCTGACATATATATATGCATAGGAAATGCCTGTTGGCTGAACGATATGGAATATGACGTATCACAGCCACCCACACTATGCTCACACCAACCAACAGTGTACAAAGTTCACCTAGCGCCAACACAAGGTGTGGAATGAAAGAGATTAAAGTCAATAAATGGATGTTTGGTAAAAGGCACAACCACTTGTACATTTCAAATACTTTACTGTACCTTGTTCAGCTTGATTGCACGGTGTATAATTTACAAATTGTCTTAGGCACACCGTTCAATGTTTGGTGTTTAATTCTGGCATGCCCGAGATCACTATAGGACTTGTGACTGGAATTACACTAAATATAGATTTTTCTTCTTAGCATCATCCACAAGTCACCAATCGATTTCTTGTCTGCTTTTTATATTTAGCATAAATCTCCTTTGTTACATAAGAACTAATCAGAAAAACACATTGACTTCCTAATAGGTTTAGAATGGAAGACCCGGGCCGTAACCCAAAGAAGGTTAATTGATCCTGATATAGCATTTAACCCAACACAGCAGAAAGGATAGCATATAAATGGGCCAATTAGCTAAGCGTATATTACACACAGTTAAGATACCTCCATTGCTTCTGTGTCTCTTATGGATCACAGACATGCCCTTACTTAGTGTATACATATATGCTGCAAGAAATCAACAGGCTTCAAATTATAATGAATATATAGGGGAATTTTGAGTGCCACCCCTTTTCCAATATACTTTACATGTTTAACTTTACTGTAAAGAATTTGTCTTTTACATATACTTGCGTACCAACTTAGCTTTACCTTACTTCTGTTATGAAAACACGTGCTTAAACACGAATTGTCACGGAAGTCTTTGCATAAAAGTGGTAAGTTAATGGAATTTCAACACCAGAACAGAAACATGGATGCTTCTCTTCTCATGGGACTGTTGAACCGTCTGCTCGTTACTATCCAAAATTTCCCCTTTGACCCACTGATATATGTGACCCCCAAAGCACAATGTTAACTTCTTTTCCTTCCATTACTCTTCACTTTTCATGTGTAGTTTAGGTAGACTTGTAGTTTTGCCATGATTCTATGTGTGAATGACTGAATTTGTACTCTAATTCCCTTACGTCCAGCTTCAACCTCACAACGTGTCTTTCAATTGCCCCTAACATGACATGAGTGAAAAACCCATTATAATTATGCAAATAACAGTGACGGATGGATAGGTCTCTATAAGTATAACTATAGCTAGAAGTACAATATAAATACGTATAAGAACTCTATAAGCTCTATCTGACGACCTCGCATAAGCAGCTCAATGAAATCATTGTGTCCATCACGTTTTTGATGATGATGAGATTCAAACACTGTTTCCTACTTCTGTAGATTCACATTCAATTCAATCATATATACTTGCACTTAGTCAGTCCGAATCCTCTGCCTCATATGCTGGAATTTTCCACTCCCGCTTCCGCAGAGATTCCACACCTGAAGCAGCAAAATTGTTGTTGTTGTTGTTGTTCGTTTATCTTCCTGCTTCACGAGATCATNGGGCACGAGCCCCCCCAACAAATTTTCTGTGCCCCCCCCAGGTGCCCCCCCACTGAAAACTCATGCTTCATGAAAAAAAAATTGAATTAAAAACAATGTCGTTAGAACAGTATAATACAAAGAAAATTTATATATTGTGCCCCCCACGAAAATGTAAGGCCCCCCCCCCAGTGCCCCCCTGCTGAAAAAATCCTAGCTACGCCACTGTTGTGGAATGGTTAAATGAGGAAATAGTGTAAGTGGCCTTCTTGTGAATCACACTGTACCAAAATAGGTAGGCCTACTGAACAATAAATTTTCACAGAAATGCATTTTTATTTTTACGTCGGTATTATAAAATGGCTTATAGTTGTAAAACTAAAACACTAGAGGTAAAAAGCAGATCGACTACACAAAGTTAATTGTGTAATTAGATGGAAATGTCTTAACAAACAGCAAGAAGTAACCGAATTGTTGAATGTGAACAAGATAATAGACAGCGGAAAAACCAATTATCTACTGACTCTTGTGTAGTTTAAAAACTCTCAATACAACTGGAAATACTTCACATATAAAAACCATCACGATAATAACAAAATGACATTCTTATGTAAATATTCCTATATCATAATATTGACAGGAACTAGCATGGAAATTTGTTTTGTTTCCGCACTAGATATGCAATGTCACCATCAGCTAGCACTAATCCAATACATTACACACCACTGGTGCCAAATTGATCTACATACACTTGGAATTAGGCCAGTGCTGGCCCAAATGCACATTTTTACCCACTTGATGAATTGTGTAGTGATGTTTAAGATGATCAACTATGCATTACTGTCCCTTCCAATTAGAAATCTTACTTCATGTGAGCAATCAGAGGCATGCCAACAGTGCCACTGTACCCACAATCTGATTGTGAGACATGTTCTTCTCTGTTTCCTATAACACAGCCGTTTATAGTTCCATACACGAATTGTACAACAATGTCAATACCAGAAACCCTCTAAAATGTTTTACAATACTAAATCTAACAAAAACAATATTCACATTGAAATTTGGTTAAATATAATCTCCACCAAAAAATATCTGAAATTGTGTCCCAATATTGCCTCAATACGCAATAATGACGTTGCAATAATGACTAATAAAATACATCTATAGGTACCTGACATATATATATGCATAGGAAATGCCTGTTGGCTGAACGATATGGAATATGACGTATCACAGCCGCCCACACTATGCTCACACCAACCAACAGTGTACAAAGTTCACCTAGCGCGGAATGTGATGGCATGGAATGAATGAGATTAAAGTCAATAAATGGATGTTTGGTAAAAGGCACAACCACTTGTACATTTCAAATACTTTACTGTACCTTGTTCAGCTTGATTGCACGGTGTATAATTTACAAATTGTCTTAGGCACACCGTTCAATGTTTGGTGTTTAATTCTGGCATGCCCGAGATCACTATAGGACTTGTGACTGGAATCACACTAAATATAGATTTTTCTTCTTAGCATCATCCACAAGTCACCAATCCATTTCTTGTCTGCTTTTTATATTTAGCATAAATCTCCTTTGTTACATAAGAACTAATCAGAAAAACACATTGACTTCCTAATAGGTTTATAATGGAAGACCCGGGCCGTACCCCAAAGAAGGTAAATTGATCCTGATATAGCATTTAACCCAACACAGCAGAAAGGATAGCATATAAATGGGCCAATTAGCTAAGCGTATATTACACACAGTTAAGATACCTCCATTGCTTCTGTGTCTCTTATGGATCACTGACATGCCCTTACTTAGTGTATTCATATATGCTGCCAGAAATCAACAGGCTTCAAATTATAAAGAATATATAGGGGAATTTTGAGTGCCACCCCTTTTCCAATATACTTTACATGTTTAACTTTACTGTAAAGAATTTGTCTTTTACATAAACTTGCGTACCAACTTAGCTTTACCTTACGTCTGTTATGAAAACACGTGCTTAAACACCGACTTTAAAGGTCGAATTGTCACGGAAGTCTTTGCACAAAAGTGGTAAGTTAATGTAATTTCAACACCAGAACAGAAACATGGATGCTTCTCTTCTCATGGGACTGTTGAACCGTCTGCTCGTTACTATCCAAAATTTTCCCTTTGACCCACTGATATATGCGACCTCCAAAGCACAATGTTAACTTCTTTTCCTTCCATTACTATTCACTTTTCATGTGTAGTTTAGGTAGACTTGTAGTTTTGCCATGATTCTATGTGTGAATGACTGAATTTGTACTACAATTCCCTTACGTCCAGCTTCAACCTCACAACGTGTCTTTCAATTGCCCCTAACATGCCATGAGTGAAAAACCCATTATAATTATGCAAATAACAGTGACGGATGGATAGGTGTCTATAACTATAGCTAGAAGTACAATATAAATACGTATAAGAACTCTATAAGCTCCATCTGACGACCTCACATAAACAGCTCAATGAAATCATTGTGTCCATCACGTTTTTGATGATGATGAGATTCAAACACTGTTTCCTACTTCTGTAGATTCACATTCAATTTAATCATATATACTTGCACTTAGTCAGTCCGAATCCTCTGCCGTATATGCTGGAATTTTCCACTCCCGCTTCCGCAGAGATTCCACACCTGAAGCAGCAAAACCATTAGTGCAGTTCACTTGCATTAAAACCAACAACACATCTCAATGCCATATCACGTGGAATTTCTATTATCTTTGTGACCACAGTTAGTTAGTGTTATCCATTTTACCTCGTTTTGTACGTATTTGCGTTGCACAGGTAGCCCCCCACCCCACCTGCTTTTTCATACGTGTCATGATCCGAGTTGTACTGCCTGAAGATCATATGTATTTGTATTCGGCTTCTCAAACTAGGCAAATACACATAACAATAGAAGGCACGTGTTGACTCTGCAGACCACAGCTACTGCTGGAGATTTAAATGCCGACAGGTTTAGGTTGACGACAGTCTGACGCCAAAGAGCATTTAGTTTGTGCATCTACCTGCCCTAGATGAGAGCAAGATGGGAGTGAAAGGTTACAGGAGGCATTTTTTACCGTCAACAGGCACCAGCGTGGAAGATAACCGACTGCTCTCACGGTGATCTATTGCGTTCGAAATCTGCCGGCTATGGCGCTTGCCAACCCCAGCGGCAGGAAGACTGAGCAGTGGCGCCATCTGTCTGCCTGATAGCGGTATGTCAGAATCTTTCCCCGCTGCTGGCGCTAGCTCCATGCTAGCCACAGCAAACTGCCTCATGAGCTCCAAGAGCTTCTGTGACGAGATCGAAGATGCGTCGAGAGTGGCGCCACCTAGAGCAGATGCTGACAACTTGTCCTCAGTATTTGCAGCTGGACTAGCGGGCAACGATATGCGGCTGCTAAACAAGTGATCGTCACCAGAAGCTATTTCGGTGGCCTGGGCGTCGCCACTGCCAGTTGCATTGATGACTGATTTTGGTTTAACTCTTCTGAGTGGTGTCACTGTCAGGGAAGATGCCACGTCACCTCCACCTGAAGATGGCAAGGCAAGTGCCTGCAAAACAGAGAGAGAGAGAGAGAAAGCTGATGGCAAATGCATGGCTGATAGAACGTATCAACAGCTAAATTAACAACAAAATATTAAAATGCTAGATTTAAAAAAAGTTGGAATTAATGAGTTTGAATGCAGAGCATGATGATTGGATACAGTAGAATGAATGAGGGTTGCATACAGGGCATACATACCTTGTCAGAGATATGATCACTATGCTTTGCCATAAGTTTAGTTGTAGCATTGATTGCTGTAGCAGCAGCTTTGAGTTTCGTTTTTATGGCCCTATATATATAAAAAATAACAATGGCTATAAACAATAGTTGTTAATGCTATAGATACATACAATAATACATACCTGTTGATGCAACAAAGCATTATCTTACATAGAAAACATAACAGAATCATTGAAAGTGAGAAATTATTCGAATTTAACGACTTCCAATCTCATGGCCATTACCAAATTTCATAACTGTTCTTATCTCAATGCCGGACACTTCTATTTCACTAGATATTTACATGTAGTGCTTGCTAGAAGCCAGCATATCATTATCCAGGTAGTTCATGCGTAATGTGTCTGTAGGGTGTGGGTCACTGTCTCTCCATGGAGGCACTTTGTTTTTCTGATTTTTCTCTACAACAGCATCGGTTGCTATATAGAGAGAAATATAGAACACGTCAGATGTAAAATACTGTATATATATGTATATTTATATATATATATATATATATATATATATATATATGAGAAAAGTTTACAGTAACGAGTGCACAACTCCCTATTTTCTCTTTGTGATATATAATACACATTACAAACATTTACGCACTGTACACATAATGATACTAAGTCCAAAATGACAAACAGCTTCTTCTTAACCAACTAAATTGCCTACCAGCTACTAATTCTCATATTCAGCTATTGAGGACAATGTTCTTTCCACCACGAAAGCTTCTTTCAAGCACTGGTAGAGCTCTCGTGCTACTCTGTTCATTAATAATCACCAAGCTGGAATCGCTTCGTAGATTAATAATATTACGTTGCTGTGCTCTCGTGATATTACGTGATGGCAGCGTACCTGAGGAAGGTCGTGTTCGAGGCCTCCTGTCGGGAGAGGGAGACCTAGGTCTGCACCACGATGACTGAGGTCTCGTGGATTTTCGACCGGTTCCACTATCGCACGTTTTCACCGACGACGGCCGCTACACGACAACAATAGCAAAGGCGTGAATGGTGAATGACGGACGGGTAATCACGTAACTGAAATACATGATGCTGTTAGCCGACATCCCGAGAAAGCGATTTTGCGGCATGGCGAAAAAGATATTAAATCGTTTTGCAAACAAATACCGACATACTTAGCATAGTCACCACACGCACAGAGAGAACGACCCCGTCGAACAACTCTGCAAGGAGTGTCTGCGGCAAGGTCACCCCCGATTCTCAATCTTACAGTGAAACTCATTCTGTAAATTGGGAGACAAAAGTTCGCGGTTCTTTTATTCTCCACACCTTTGGCCGTGTTAGATTCAGTTCCTTTATGCGTTTTGCGTACAACCTCTTCCAGGCGTCAGGCTCGTGTGTGCTCGGTGTGGGTGCAGGCAACCATCCAAACCTCATACATTTCGGCATCCAGAGCTGGTCTAGTTCTGCCACGTACTTCCAGGACCAGCACACCTAGATTTGAACATGAGCACATGGTCGTGATCATACCATACAAACAAAATCAAAGGTTAAGCAAAGCTTATCGAATACTTGCATGAACGGGAGCGAGGAGATAATTACAAGCCTTTGCCGCTATCAAACAGCATGGGCGGCACAAGATAATTTATATTAATTATAAATCAGAGAATTAGAAAAGATGCCGCTCGAGCTGCACACACACAGATGCACTAACACACACGCGCGCACCTCACCTGGGCGCATCTGCAGAGTGACCGTGGATCCAAGTACGATAGAATATGAAGCGTAAGTACACGAGGAAGCAGCCTGGTAAAGTCGTGGCATTTGATTGGTAGCCTGCGGTCCACCAGAACTCTTATGGCTTCCAGATGCGATAAGCTCAGCTTGCCGATAAGGTCTTCGAGTATGATCACACGCTGCGCGTCTGACCACATGTCATACTACATAACATGAATGCATTTATATAGCATATAGACAAGAGAGAGAGAGAGAGAGAGACGACAGAGGAGATGAACCGGAGTAGAGGAGACGAGAATGAGGGAGAGAAGAGAGAGAGAGAGATGAGAGAGAGAGAGAGAATGGGAGACGGGGGAGAAGAGAGAAGAGAGGAGAGGTTAGACAAGGACAGAGACGGACGGAGGAGAGAGGCAGAGTGCGTAGGCTAGTGAGAGAGCAAAAAAGCAACGAGAGTGGAAAGAAGACGAGAGAGAAGCAGAAGCGAGGGGGTGAGGGACGAGAGAGATGTATGAGGGATAGTCGAGAGAGAGTGGAGAGAGAGAGAGAGAGAGAGAGAGAGAGAGAGAGAGAGATGAAGCAAATTGCAAGGATAGGATAAGGATGCTTAGGATCACTATGAGGATTCAGTGCTGATGATGCTCATGTACACCCATTATATAATGTTGATAATCGTGTAACACGTACGTGCGTATATAACGTAATATGCGATATAAACAAAATGAGCATAAATTACCATAAAAACAGGAGTTAATAATGACAAATTGTCAATTGTCAATTGACAATTTGTTATTATTAACTCCTGATAAAAAGTATACTAATATATAATTAAATATGTACTGTGTGAACAATTAATTTTTACTATTAAAATTCAGACACTTGCAATGTAGACAGACACACATGTATACACAGTCCAATACACTGAAACAAATTATCTTACCCATTTTCCAAGCAGAGCTCTTCTCTCTTGAAAAACCTAAAATTGGGTACAACCAGATATTCCAACTTTCATTCAATTTCAACGTTATTTATGCTAATTGAGAAATTGATAAAAAAAATCTGTGCCTAAAACTTACTGAGTATTGCCTGTGCTAACTCTAGTGGCGAGATAGCAAAATTTAATTTGTACATTTGCATTGCATTTTTGCATGTGGCACTTTAAGTTTAACCAGGGCTCCTGGTTTGAAAAAATCATGCAAAAATCATGGTTATCATTCCTGGCAGGCGATCAACAATTTACTGTCACTGAATCGAATTATCAATACCTGTGCATTAGTTTCTACATTATTGAGTGGCGTCCAACTACTTTTCAAATAACTGACAGTGGAACAGGGTGTTTTCTTACTGCCCATAGTTGAAATTACGCGATAACTGCTGCCGCTAAATTTCGCATTATATGTTATCGATTTTACTACGCAAGTAAAATCGGTAGTTTGTTTGTTGATACACGGTCACGATACTAGACTGGCTATTCTGCGTATATTATATAATAAAATTGTAAGCAAAGAGCGTTGTGTGACAGTCTTATCCACTTGTCTGCCTGCCATCTGTCGGGCTTTGTTAAATTTACTAGGAATTAATACTAATAGCTCACGTCATTAGTATTCATATTACGCATATTAAGCTGTATTGGAAACCCTATAATTACATTGTATAAAAAAATATACTCCTATATTAAAATGTATTAAATGTGTGAAATGTCACCAGTAACATTGAGTGATAGGATCATTGACTTTTCCAGAAAAGGCGGACCCATCATGTTGCTATCCTCCATCACTAGGAGGCAGCTCAGTGGTGCCGAAGGCGAAGATAAAAAAGAATACACTGAAGTGAATAATTTTTTAAACCCTTCAATTTTAGGAAGTTGCTTACGATTAAAATCAGAACGGATAACACTAGTAGGTAAATGATATAACAGGTTAGTGTGTGCAGCGTGCGTAAGGAAATTTGCTTTCTGTGTTTCTAGTGTAAAAACCGTCGCACGCATACAAAAACAATCGTAACATGTAGACGCACTACTCGCATTGAACCTGACAAGCTGCAAGCTCACATACATGTACAGTATTTTACGGGTTCGCCGCTAAGCAATTTTAAGTAATTAGCAGTTAGCTCTCCTTTGCGCCCTAGCGTTGCAGTGTGATTCATTACGAGCATTAATGTGTATCGGTTTTGCTGTTTCAGATTTCACGCAGACGAAGTGCGATAGGAGTGAGACGTGCTTGCCCCTCTCATTGTGCATAGGTCGGCTGTGAATTTACTGTGCTCTTGGTAAGCTAACATTGATTATAAGACATGGAAGAAGTTGAGCAGGGACTGCCTCGTGAACGGGAGCCACAGCCAGAGCCGATTCAACAGATGCAGTCAATGAAAGTGAATGGTGGTATGTACATAATTATGAATACAATAATCAATGGTGCTGTGCCATAGAAACGGAGCCCCAGCTTTTAACGAAGAGAAGGAACGAGTGCAGTTAGTGTTATCGTGATCAGGGGTTTATGTAGTCCTTGATTTGATATTGAATCAATCCACAATCGAAATGGATGTTAAGATTAACAATTTTTAAGCAGATGTCAGTGTTATTTTTACAATTTGGCTGTATATTTTTCACAATGGTCACCCGTTTCATCAGAACTGTATATTAGTCAGTAATTACAACAAAATCGAGAACGTTTTTGCTGGACCACAGCTGCAGTGCGCTACTGCATATAATTGTACCAAAAATTTACAAACAGGTTATTGTTTTCATAAAATGAATAATTAGATACAAGACACAATTACCCTGATAAATTCTTGGTTATGTATTTCGTGTTAGTATATTAGTGTTTTTTATGTATGGATCATGCAGCTAGTAAAACATATTTATGAATTAACTAATTGATTATAAATGTAATTCCAATATGCATTGATCAAACAGTCATTTACTTCCTCCATATGTCAAGTGATCATGTATAGAATGTAGAACTAGTTAAGATATGATTAAAATTTCCATCCTCCCAATTAAATTTTAATCGTGTATTGACATTGTGTGTACCTAAGAAATTACAATATACCATATGACATTAGAAAGTAATACACTGCGAGATAGAAAATTCCCATATGTTTCTGTGCTATAACTAACAGGCATGTTTGTGCTGTGTAATAGATAAATGTACATAAATTTAATCTTCATTCAGATGATTTGAACATAAAGTGCTATATAGCTCTACGGTGATGACCCTGATCATGTTTAGGTTAGTAGGGCTCATAGGGTCTATGTCCCCCAGGGTACTATCGGAGGGTACCCTGGGTACGGTTCGATATATCGGAACGTACCCTGGTACCAGGTACTATCTAATATGCCGGACCGTACTTCGCCTACTCCACTAACGAGTCTAGGGAGTCGCCTACGCCTACTCCCTAACCCTAACCCTAACCCTAACCATATCAAATAGTTACGAGGGTACGTTCCGATATATCGAACCGTACCCAGGGTACCCTCCGATAGTACCCTGGGGTACATAGACCCTATGAGCGTTAGTAGGCACTGAAGTTAGTGACTCATTTTAGGTGTACTGCCATTTGCCACCGATAGTCTCGTTGCATCCCCAGTTCTACTGTATGAAAATTCTATAAACTCGGCTTTCCCTATTCTGCTCCAGTTGCACGCAGAACCTCCTCACGCAGAAATCCCTCGGGGCTATGACACAATGATGCTGTGCACTAGTGCAGTGCAAGAATAGGTTTTGCTGGCTTTGTGCTGGAAATACGTTGAATGCCAACCGGCTTCAATTTGAGTGTATATATGATAATAATTCAATTGCAATGCAGATCGGCTGAGTGTACTCTAGGTTACTAGCAACAATCTAGTTAGTAATACATAGCATGCAGGGCCGTAGCTTGCGGTGGGGGGGCAAGGAGGGCAGCTGCCCCCCCTAGATTTAGGAGAAAAATTAAAAACATAAATTGTTCTACTAAAAGAGAGTTGTCGTAGTCAGAATGAAGGCTGTATACATGTACTCAAAAGTGCCTCAAATACCATCTCCTGCGATCTACATTTTCAAAAGTTTCTGTGGGAGGACCCCCACACCCCCACCTGTTTCTCACCCCCTCCTTGAGATCCTGAATTCGCCACTGCCCCCCTAGGAATTTGCTCAGCCTACGGCCCTGGCATGATAATTATTAGTGTAATATGATGATATGAAACGGATTCACACCAGAGTACAATATCACTCTTCAGCAATACATGTTCCTGCACAGATAGTCTAGTTGTCTTCATAGAAGAAGATATTTGTTTTGATTCACTCCTGGCTACATGTATGCTAACGATCGGTCATTTGTGTGTTACTTGTACAGTACGACGTCATCAATCGTAAAGTGTCTTGGGTATTCAGACAAACTACGTCTGGTTCCATCCATGCGCGTTGAAAATTATAGATTGATATAGCGTCTTTGCTACGTTATTTACGTGTTTGCTACGAGTTATTGGAGACATTTATGTGTACCTTGGTATTAATTAGTTATTATCTGGATGTAAGGTAAGCCATGGCGTTGTTTAGCTGTGGCAGCGTTGTCACTGCCTTGCTATTGCACTATAGGGTCAACTCCACCCATAGAAATAATGTGTGTCTCTATAATATATTTCTATGACACCACCGAACAGGCAAAATCTCTTCCGTTGAATTAATCGATGTTTCATTGCATTGAAATTGCCCCTATACAAGTTGTTAGTTAAGTTAAATCCCTTCCCGTGCCTATGTACCTACAAGTTGTACCACCGATTAAAGAAAGGTTGTTGCCAGTGACACACATAACAGTCAAGGTGTAGAGAGGTCAGTATAACGCGTTCACACGTGGCGACGTCTGCTGTACCAGTTTTACGACCTGACTAAATAAGACGTCGGCTGCTTACGTGCATGTCAACCCTGCATGCCTATGCAGCTAACGAGAGGCAGCTAACAAAAGACTCACGGTTGCGTGCCCTCACGTAAAGGTTCGTGCTTAATCCGTTTGAATTGCCCGTACGAGTTATTAGCAATTCAAAATAGATTATAATATAATAGTTCAGTAAGGTTATAGCTACCAGATAGTGTCATAGCAGCTTGCTTCGTGCTAAAAATTTGAGAAAATGTGAGCTAATGTTAGAAATTACTTAAACACATTCATGGCAGTTAAGGTTGTCGCCTCGACGTAAAACAGCGCGTGTCAACTCTAGCGGTGCGGATATCACCGATGTTCCACATGACACAACTGCTGAGAGTGGCGTGACTGTCGTTTTCCTTTTGTCCGCGAGCCAGCCCAAGTGTACAAACGCTGAGCAGCCGTAACCCTGTGTCCAGTCTATACGCCACTCACGTCATTTTTGTGGTCAATACAACGTGAGAGTCCGATGTGCGCACCGGTTCTAGTATTCGTCGATTGTAGTAATTTGCGACGAGTAGTCACGTCTAATGGCCAAACATGATCATGATAGAGAGTCCGGATATGCGTTTACCGTGTTCATGGCAGTTCCATGAACCCAGAAGCATTAAGGAGCTCTAGCCTGCGACCTGACAGACTGGTCGTGGATACATGTACTCGCAGCGGACTTTACACTGCACCTGGCAACGGTCGGTAGTACCAGGAGACATCAGCTTCTAGCGACTGACTTCATTCTGACATTCGTAATGCATCCTAGAATAAACGTACTGTACGCGGCAACGGCTGAAGCGCTTGTATATTGTATAAGCTTGGCGAAAATAAGAAAGAGAAGCGTGCTGAATATTACATGGTTGTCTGACATTTGTCGCATTTGCGTCAGTACAAGGGGCATAGCACAGGTAGGGCGTATCATGCAGGACCTGAAGTGACAGGTGATGCTCAAAGCCTCTGTGGAACAAGCCTGTATATCGCCTCCAGCCGCCAAAGTTCTACTTGATAACAGGCTGTAAACATGCAGTTTACAAGAATTCAAACTACTCGCAGATTAGTGAGAGCGGTTTAATAGAGTCTACGCTGATAGCCGAATTTTGCAGCATCGAAATGTAAAGTATATGAGAAAGTCTTCTCCGTCGCATCTCTCCCTGTCCTGCCTCCCATGATCCTCACTCCCTCAGCTATCATCATAACTCTTTCATCCTGGAAGAGCCAGCTATCTCTCTGGAAGTACCCTAGCTCCGTTACCCTGGAAGCACGTCAGCTTTCTCTCGCTCTCGCCTCTCGCTCTCTCTCTCTCTCTCTCTCTCTCTCTCTCTCTCTCTCTCTCTCAACCCCCTTGGGATGATGCCTCTATATGAACGCTCCTAATGTGTGATGTGTACACTCGTCGCAGACTCCTCGTAATTATTCAATCATATGGGCGGAATCGCCGGCGCCGCGGCAAACGCGGACTATCGGTGCCGCTGCTTAATGGACCAGCGGTAATTTCCAAACCACGGACATCGATGCTTCCCGTAAACAGTGTTGCATCTGCGGCGATGGCTCGTAGGGGGCGGATGCCTATGGGCCGTTGCGCGTTGGTCCGGCACGCACGCAGCGCGCTGCACTTCGCTATTCTGCTGATAGATGAGGAGGGGGAGATCGCGAGATGCTGCCTGCAGGTGCGTCTTCTTCGCACGTATAGCCAGGTACGGGCGGATATGTTCGAAATTGGAGAAATGTCGCGACGCGGTGGGGGGGGGGGGTGGATCTACGCTGCCTAAGAAACGCCAGGGACTTCTGTTGTCACTTATATATTCAAGCACGTAAAAAACTAGTGGGGCTGTTGTTGTTGATTGCCGGGGCGGGGAAGCACGAGTTGATCTATCGTCGCACAGAGGATCTTGCCCGCCTGCTTTATTATTGATGCCTGGGGCACGTGTGCGTGTCACACGGCCCACCACTACCACGTACCCCGCTCTGGTGGCTTTGGCGAAGTGTGGAAACGCCGCTCGCTTGGCACGTCTGTATGTAGGCCTACAGAGCAGTTTGCAGTTCATCTCGACAGCTAGAGCTAGAGCTACTGTTTGCACGCGCAGTGTGCAAATATTCATCACTGACTTTAGGGGGCTAGCTATCGCGAGTGACGTCGCAGTTGGCGGGTTAAAGTTATGACACAGTTATGGCAGTTGATACATGATGACATATAATACAAGGCATATGATGCCGCTTTTCAGATACTTGCTGAACGACTGTTAGCCGCTCCCTGCTGAACGCGGGATAACTTTATGCTCCGGGATCGTGGTTTCACATCTTGGCCGCGGGATAACTTTAGCTCGGGATAAGTCGTTTCATACTGCGCACGACTTTAGCCCGCTTCTGAAGCGGGATAACTTTAGCTCGGGATAAGTCGTTTCATACTGCGCACGACTTTAGCCCGCTTCTGAAGCGGGATAACTTTAGCTCGGGATAAGTCGTTTCATACTGCGCACGACTTTAGCCCGCTTC